GAATACACAGTCAAATTCACATTGAACGCTGTATTTATATGTTGGTAAGATGGCATGCTTGTGCTGCCCAGTTGTTACTTGCTACATGAAGCATGACATCTTCTTGGATAGTTACGTCACCTTTAATGTCCATGTATTTAAAATATGTTTGATACTTTCATTTAACACGAAACCTTCCATTTTTCTACAATTAATTTATTGTCTAGTTATAACTGATTGATTAATATTACCGTAATAATCAACACTCACCGGTCCTAGCACGAATTATCGTACGTTAAATTCTCTAGTGACGTCACACCAATCACGTGAGTGCTGTCCAATACGTTCGTAATACGAGTAAAAACACGATTTGAAACAATCTCGGTAATTAATTTATATAAAATATATTTTCAATTAATATTATGTTACCTTAAATTAGAATTATAGTGATGATAAAATTTAAAACAGATACGTCATCTGCATATACAGTATTTCAAGAAAGAACTTACATCTGTTTTCCTTCAATTTTGACACCACACCAATCACAGCGATGTTGATGCATGGCGTGAGGATGTGTCCAAATAGGAACCCAATTCTCGTAAAAAACTCGATTAAAACCAATTTTGGCAGGTCACTGCAGCGTATCCATTGGATGCAGAGTAGCTGAAGTGACATACACTATCATTTGTTTTAATGTAATTTTCAGTGTGATTTAACACTGTGTGAATTGATTCCTGAGCCCATGGACAATTGAAAATAACCAATGATCAAAGTAATTTTGTTTTAATAGAATTAAAAGTTGTTGAAGCTGTGGTACAGTAAATTTCTTCATCCTCTTTAAATACAATAACCCCAACTTCAGTACCCTGAAGACGAGGTTAAGAAGATGGTTCTTGAAATGTTGGAGTTTACTCCTTACAACCACCTGACACTGCTGGTAGGCCAGGAAAAATTCATTATGCTCCATCTACTTCATTCTGCAATATTTTGTTCATGTGTGAGTTGAATTAAACATATTATGAATGTATTGTGGTTCAAGGTTTGGCATTTTCTCACCTCCAGCTAAAAAGACAGCATTTTTTCTGCTCCAAGTTACGCTGTAGTCATGGAATAACCTGAAATGTGTTTAGAAAGGTAAAGTATGTGAAGAAACACATTCTTTAAGAATGTAAGTAGAGAAAATCAAAAGTTTTTGAAGTTACTAAAATCTACTGTTGCGAAAATTACAAATTAATTGACAGAGGAAGAACTTGCCAGAGGACTGGTGGACACATGCTGATGATAGATGACATTTATTTCTCCCTGAAGAAGTTCAAAGTTTGAACAAATGTCTGCTACTCTCTTCTTTTATTTTGTCTGGGTCCTTACAACACTCATGCTTACTGTACTCCTATGTACTATACTCCTTTCTCTGCTATCCAATTTAAAGTCTCCAAATTTATGGCATCCTTCATGAAATTAAATGCTTTCTTCCAAAATAGTTTATGAAAGAGAAATGCACACAACTTTAATGTGGAAACATTTGCATCCTGAATTATATATGCTTACTGTGAAGGTTAAAGAGCTTTTGTATGGGAGAAATATTTTACAAGACAATTGTGTGTTTGAGAGAAGATAGTGCATATGAGGGTGCCTAGACTGGCAGTGCAAAAATTTGCCATCAAGATGAATATAGTTTGATAAGAAGACATCTGGACCACATGATTTGATGAAGCTGGAGAGAGCAATACAATCCACAATTTTTAAGAATTACCTCTGAAAATAAGCTTTTTCCAGTCAGTAGTATTTTAAAGAGGGGTAAATACATTAATAAACAGAATTTGAGAATTTTTAGGTTAACGTTATCTGGGAGGTGGAAGTTATTAAGCCAGTTACTGTTTAGATAAGACGTTGCATGTATAAGTTTTGTTGGTGAATCTAGGACAAATCATACCATGCATTGCAGGTTAATTAAACTTGAAAGCATATAAATTAAATCTTGTTAATTCTTTGGCCAGAAAATGTTGATTTATGTACCCAAAATATGTCTCCAAAAGAACATTTGTATAAACTGGGTAGCCAACATCCACAGCGTCTTAAAAATTGGTAATTTCC